GCTTGTTAAACTATGGAAGTTAACTATTAGATCGATTTAACAGCTCCGCTTCTAACCAATTAAGCAATTAAACAAGTGGAACATCTCAGTGTACACATTAAAAAAAAGTTAAAACTAACAAAACTATTCTAGCTTGAGATTTCTACTCATGGCTATGGAAGACCAACACACAACAGGCTGATTAGACTCCCAGCAACATGTTCCTTGACTATGCTCCTTTTCTCTCTTTTGATTGCCTAGGAATTCTCAACTCATATACAAGATATACTGGCCACTCATTTCTAAAAAAATCAGCTTAAGTTTGTTACTCAGGAAGTGGGGAGAGGAAATAACACCACTAGCACATCCAACCTTTTCCAGATGACTTCACCAAAGATAGTATTGCTCCAAGCATTCCTATTTAATTCATATTTCACATTTTAATGAAGGAAGCTGTGAAACAATCTATGCCACAAAGTAATTATTGAAAGATGGATCATGTGTGTTGTGATTTCTGACGGCCGTACTAATTTCACACATTCATCATCTACAAAAAATGTATCTTGTTCATATCGTGCTAAATAAAAGACAAGATAAAAAATAGCTGCCTTCTAATACCTTGTGTGCAGTTAAAGGCATGAGACCCACCCCCACGCCAAACTTCTCCATCCTTCACACACACACACACACACACACACACACACACACAGAGAGAGAGAGAGAGAGAGAGAGAGAGAGAGAGTTTCTAACTGAGTGAAGTGGTCCTAACCACCTCTGTAATCCTCATGGGTTGATTGAACAGGAGAAACAAACCATAATTCAGCATGGGAACTTGAGTAACCTTTCCCCCCATTTCATTGATTTTCCCACAACATCAAATTCAGCAAGCACAAATTGGCAAGTAAATTATGGAAGGTCCATGGAGGGGTGGGGGTGGAAAGCTGGTTAGTGTGACAGGACACTAACCAAGGTATGCCCTTCAAAGGCTGTTGGTTGGCAGATGCCCCCTGCCCTCACCATTGATGGGACCGGCTGTCATGGAGCAGAATTTCACCCTGTTTGAGGGGTCACACGTTGTCTGCTCTGTTACTAAATCAATTTCCTCATTTCTTGCCACTCTGCAAACCACAGAGGGACTGGCCAGTCAGCCTTAGTGGTGGTTTATGAAAAGAGTCCAGGAAAACCTCAGGAAAAAGAGAAGCTGTGGCTTCCACAGAAAATGGCATGCATTCATTACCTAAAACCAGACAGCCATCAGCTTAGCAAATGGCCTGGCATAAATCCGAGGCCAGAGATACAGTGCTGCTAGATTCATGCAACATTATAACCCAGAGGAAACAAGCAAGGTTTGGAATTATGGACAGTTTATGAACCACTGTTTATGTCAACACGCTACATAAACTTGTTCAGTTCTCAAGGAAGACTGAGGGTGAGGTACAAAGTCAGGCACAGTTTCCATCTGATTCAGGCAATAAAGCCGGAGCACCCTGATAATAAGAAAGGAAGAAGTGGGGCAGTGACCTCTATAAATGGAGCCACTTCTACTAAATGTTGAGTCCTTTCTTCCTTCTTCCCATTTCCATGCAAGCCCAGCTCTGACTGTCCAGTCTTTTTCATCTTTTTCCAATGGCACATTTGGAGATGAAGCCATTGATAACTGCCTGTCCTCAGAGTTTGGGGCTGTGCAATTGACAATAAACTCACTGCAAGGCCTAGAATGCTGTTTTAATAATCTTACCCTTTCTACTGTATGCCTCAAAGGGTGTCCATAAGAAAAGGAGCAACCTGTACAGACATCGTTTCCTGCTTAAACACCAACTCAATGCATATAACCAGAGTACAACTGTAATGACATCTTTATGGGGCAATAAAACCTAAAAAACAGCTTTCATACTTTATTTAAAGGAGCTCTGTAAGAAGCAGTGTTATATAAAATAATTTGACTTCTTTTCTTGAAGAATAGGTAGACCAATGAATGAGTACATGAATGAAGATATTGCATTCTCCCCCCTTCAACTGACTTGCTTTGCTCAAAGTCTGTAAAATAAACAAACTCTCATTCAACGATGCTGATTTATCCAATATTAGGTATGCAAGACAACTTACTCTAAAAATATCATAACTCTGAAGGAGGAAGAAGAGGTGGCAGAGGAGGATCAAATAAATGGTTTAATCAAATGAATTTATCTTGAAAAACAGGTTTGTATGCTTAACGTGAATAACACATTCCACAACCAGTTCTATTATTATCTATCCAATGAGGCTGAACTTCTGTTATTTTGATAAATGTGTCTCAAAGAAACAGCATTTCTGATATAAATCTAGTGACGGTTGCAACTGCTGCTCTCCTGCTGACTAAGAGCACCTTGGACTTGGGACTTTGCTCCAGGAGAGGAGCAGAGACCCACAGAGGCCCTCAACCATCCTCTTTTCTTCTTCTGCTGAGCTGCTCTGAGCACTGCAAAGAGCAAAGGGGCTTCGGCATCCGATCGCCATTAGTTTTAGCCAGTGGGCAGATCATCAAGAATAACATTAAGATTCCCATGAACTTGACCGATTTTATCACATCGGCTTGTCAGTTGCACTATCTCAATCTTGGAGCTTTACCTCTGTAATCTTATTTCTGTAAAATTTTTCTCAGATGTACTGGACCAGGTAGAACCAGCTCAATGTCCATTGCCTGGAACCGAACCAGAAGTCGACCCCTCCAGTTCCTTTCTCGTTCCAGGGAATTCCCTGATCCCAGCATCCTTCAAACACTGTTTTCCTTGGCCAGGATGACTCCTGCACGAGTTACACAGCCAGACCAGCAACAGAGCGAGATGCAAAGCCCTCCGTTGTTTTCTCTAGTGGTTTGTTACCCAGAGCATCTTAATAGCCCGGCCTCCAGCTATGCTGATCTCTTTAGTTGGTTTCATGTTGCCAAATATTCTGAAGAGGACAGTTTTATTACAGGGATTCTGGGGAAATCTTTTCCCTGCCATTTTGGCCTCAGACACTATTGCTGGCTCACACACTACATTATACCCTAATCCTGGGATAACGAAACAAAGTTGTTTCCTAGGCTGACAGACAAAATTGACACACTGACCCATAAACTTTCCAATCCCAAATGACCAAGAATTATACTTGCATCACGTGACGCAACGAGATGGGTAAAGAATAATTCGCAGTCATCCTGGACTTAGAAATAACTACAAGCTACACATCTGGCCTGCTGACCTGCTTGTGCAAGATGAGCCAAGTTGGACTCTGTTTGCACATTGGCGTTGTGCCAACTTGGATTCCTTCTTAAACGGTTGTGCAAAGATTACTGGTCTGTTTCACCAAGGAAATGTGGAGGATTACACGAACCTTTGGCAAATAATGGTTGTGAAAAATCTGAATAAACACTCTCCGCTAATGTAGTCTAACATTTTATCCACAATTAGATCAGAAACTTTTTAAATACTCCAGTTATTAGTACCAAACTATCATCAGGGCTTTTAAAAAAGATTAATATCCACACCATACTTGTAAATTAAAGAAAAGATTTTTTTTTAAAAAAAATAAATGGGATAAAGAAGTAAAAACTCTGTCCTGCCACACATCAGAAATCTTTCCCAGTCTTCCACCACCCTGGGAACCTCCTCTTTTGATGGAAATAAAACCCCAGCTCTGCCAGGCAGAGAAACATTTTTTTCTCCCAGAAGGAAAAAAATCTACTTCTGTCCACTTAAGGATGAGATGGAAAGCCAAGAGAGTCCCAAGGCCCAGCAGCGATGAAACAAAGATGAAATATTATGTCCAGATGTACCTCCCAAATATAAGGAGGTCATCATCTGATTCCTTGAAGCTTTGAATGCAGAAACCAGGATAAGACAAGGCCACCAGCCCTGGGGCAGAACTTTCATGGGGCTTCTACACGGAACTTGGAAATTTCCAGAGTTCCCTTCATTTTGGGGGTTCTCATCCCAGAACAGAGCGTGAAAATACACTTTTCTGAAAGGAAGGCATGTGAGTTGGAAAAACTTCAACTGATACAATCCGATGGGATATAGGATTTTTTTTTCTTACATGGCCCTGCCAGACAACATGATTTCCTTAAATCCTTTGGATTACGTATTGATTGTGCCACTCAAATTCTTGGGCAAAATATATACAGATGAGATTTTGTAAAGAAATCTCTGAAGATTTATTTTAATTATTTTGGTTTCTGGGTAAACTTGCTAGTTTCTGTTTAGATACATGAGTATACGTGTACAGTTTATTAGAAGCTTACAAAACAGAAGATAGTCTTTACAAAGGCTCTGTCTCTGAGAAGCTCAGCAGCTTGTAGAAAAATAACTAAAACATAGAAAGCATTAACAGGGCAGTTAGGGATGTGATCCCTGTAACCTTCTAACTAACATGAAGGTAGGCAATGTTTAACATCTAGTCCTCTAAGAGTGTTTTGATCTGAATGAGACTGAACTCTCACCAGCTTAGATGGCGGTGGCAGGACTGGTGGGGCGCAGATGCCAGAGAGGGAGAGAGGTTGAGCCAGCCTCATGTCTTCCAAATCCAGAAAGGGGATCTTTCAGGGGTTCAGCCACTGGGCAACGAAATGACCAGGGAGCAATTAAGCAAAAGGAGCAAAACACCTAGTCCTAATCCATCAGTAAGGGGGCCCAATGAAAGTCACACACAAGAAAAAAACCTCTCTTGATCATCTTACACAAGACCCATAAGGAGGACAGCAGAGGTTCCTACAGTGGCCGTGGCAGTGGCCCTCCTTCTAAATTCTGCCTTGACTCTAATGCACCTATTCTGCGCAAATATCGTTCACACATTATCCTTGCCCTCCAGTGAACTTTCAATATGCTTCATCCTCTGCAGCCCAACAGACACTTGAATGTCCCTTCCTTTTACAGTCACCTTAGAAGTCCTTAGCAGATTCCCTGAGTCTCTGCCACACACCCCTTCTCCTTTTGGTCAAGAAAAGCCCAAGAAAATTGGTCCCGTCAATAATTGCAGAAGCCAAGGCCCAAAGGAACACTTACCCAAGTCAGCCTTTTCCTTCAAAATGTCCTTGAAATTGAGGCCACTGTTGTGCGTGGATTGCCGGAACCTGTTTAGGGCTTCCCTCTGTCCATCTTTCGTCAGTTCCGGAGGTGTGAAGGCTTCATCCTGGACGCCACGTTTCCACTTGGAGATATCTGTCCGGGCCCATTGGGCCAAGTCTTCAAGCTTCACCGTTACTTTTTCTGAAGCAGCAATGACTTCATCCTGGAAGAGCCAAAGGGAAAAAGGTCATGTTGGCTCCTGACTTGTATCATCACCAAATTACACAACAGGCTTTTCTCACCAAATGACCTGGAGAATATCTTCTGTCTCTCCCTTTGTCCCAGCACAGCACTGCCTTCAAAGCAGCCTGAGGATTTTGCGCCAGACTGGTTGACAGCTCTTTCCAGGAGCTCCACAGGCTTTGCGAGGGGCTTCTCTCCTTCCAGTTGCTACAGCGAGGAGCCAGCAGGGGCAGGGGCTGAGGGGACCTCCCTTTTTGTGGCTCTCCTCTGGTGCTTCTCCGCCATGCAGCCATCCCAGGGGTGTGCAGCATGACCATCTCCCATAATTTCCATCCACCCAAAACTTTGCGTCTTTTCCACACTCCTTCGCCTTTCCCCTAACCCTTCCTGTTTTTTAAACTCTACTTTCATTAAAAGCAGTTCCAAAGTAGGGCATGCTGACTGTTCAAATGTTTGGATTGGTTCTAAAATTTTAAGAAGGAGCCTTGTGGCAGCAGATCCAAAGGAGTTGGTCTTTTGCTCTGCTCCACCACTATCCATGGATGGAGCTCACTTCACGGAGGACAGGACAAAGTTTGGTGTCTGCTCTTGTTCTGGGAGGCTGTTCTCTCCCCCCCCCCCAGGACACCAGCACAAGAGGGAGCCAAACCCCTATGGAAAGAAAACCCTCTTTCCTAAAAGGGTGACTTGGCTGCAGTACTTGGCACTGAGACTATGGCAGCTGATGTTGCCAGTACCGTAAGCAGGCTCAGAAACCACAAAAAAAGGCCAGGATTTCCAGCAGGTTAGACGGAGAAGTTTACATCTCATCCCCAAAGCGGTCAATTCCACTAGCCTCCAGGATTTGAGCTTGGCTTGAAGGAATCTTGGCCTTTATAGCCTGCACAGAAATAAATAACCCATGGAGAGGTCACATGAGCATATGCCCTTTTGTGGGAGTGCAAAGGGATATACATGCTTCATTAGGCTAGGCCTTCTTGTTCACAGCACGTTATGATTGTTAATATAATTTCAATCAATTTTTATACATATTTCCATGAATACCAGTTGAAATAGAATTTACTTCTAAATAATTAGAAAGCAGAGGTGTGTGTATGTGTTCCATCCTCTGCATTGCCAGAAATTGAGCAAGGGGCCCTTTTGGAAAATGCAATTAATCTGCAGAGGCAAAAATGCATAGCATGATGAGTAATGGTTCTAACTTGTTCTTATTTGCACAATAAGATCTAATTATAAATGGGGTTCCTGGAACTCTGAGTCACTAGAAAATTCCTGTTTATGATACAATTTCCTTGCCTAATACACAAATATTGAAGTAAACTTTTGTTCTAACAGTTACATGAAACATTTGACATAATCACCCAAGAAATATTACAAAAATTCTGCAAGTCTCCTGCAAAATAAGATTGCCAATGCTATGATTTCCTGCACATTTCCAGGCAATTAGTTTTAATTCTCCTTCCCCCCCCCCAGATTTCCTTAAATTGACACGTAGTAGTCCTTGACTTAACACAGTTCATTTAGTGGCCATTCAAAGTTACACCACCACTGGAAAAAGGGAGTTAATCGATGTTTTTCACACTTACAATTGTTGCCGCATCCCTGTGGTCATGTGATCAAAATTCGGATGCTTGGCAATTGGTTCGCATTTATGATGGTCGCAGTGTCCCGGGGGTCACATGATTTCCTTTTCCAATCTTCTGGCAAGCAAAGTCAATGCAGGAAGCCAGATTCACTTAATAATCGTGTTCCTAACTTTAACAACTGCAGTGATTCACTTAACAAATGGGGTAAGAAAGGTCATAAAATGGGGCAGAACTCACTTAACGGATGTCTCATTTGGCAACACAAATTTTGGGCTCAATTAAGGTCGCAAGTCGAGGACTACCAGTATTACTTTAGAGCAGAGGTCTTCCAACTTGGCAACTTTAAGACTTTTAAGCAGAGCTGGCTGGAGAATTCTGGGAGTTGAAGTCCACAAGTCTTAAAGTTGCCAAGTTTGAAGACTCTGCTTTAGAGAATTGTCCTTTATAGAACAGATTTAATCAAATCTGTTGACTGACAGGAGCACAGCGGGTGGCAGCATCACAGGGCCAAACGTCACCCTTGCAAAAAAGATCCTTCCAGATCGCTGGAAGTGAAACTGCTATTACTTTTAAAGGACAAGAGGCAACATTTCATGAGATATCCAAGCAAAAATGCCCAATATTGCCAGGTTCAGCAATCAGCGATTTTTAAATACCCCATTCAATGTCTTCCAGGTACCTTAGACATCAACTCTCATATTCTCAACCAGTATGGGAATTATGGGTAACAAGGGGTGGCTTCATACATTATGCAAGCAATTACAACTTAATTCTGTATGGTCATTTTGGCTGGGAATCATGGGATTTGCTGTCCAACAACAGGAAATATTTCCCAGCAGGAAATATGCTAAAAGCCATGTCATGTGCCAATGCTCCATAAATCTTGCCTGGCACTTTTAAGGGGCCTTATGCAAGCGTGATCTTCCCAGGAACCACGACTCTTAGCCTGATGCGTTTCTTCCCCAAGGCTCAGCCAGGCCAAGGTTGCTGTTTTCGGAAGGATCTGGGCGCCAGATCAGGCGATACAGGGCTGCTTCTAAAGGGGCAAAGGCAGTGGCACTTCCATTGCCAGGTGCTCACCTCCTCCTGTTTAGGAACTGCCAAGGCTATCCCTTTGTTGGCATCCCAAGTGAACAAAGTTGACCATTGAATAACTAAAAGATGAGTGCAATCATGACTCCATCAGGAATGAATAACCCTGTTATTGAGGCTCCAGGGATGATGCCCAGAGTCTAAGCCATGCAAGGCACCTGCAGAAAGACTATACATTCTGTACTGCCAGAAACCGACAACTCCATCTCACAAGCAAATGAAGCTCAACTCAGGAACCATGGACCGTCAGATCTATTTGGCCACTAAAATCAGATTCAAATGAAAACAGATCTTATCCCATTCTCCTTTGACCCTGCTGTCCCTCTTCCCAAGTGGAAGCTCCTCAGTGGAGTGGAATCTCTTGTTCCATTGATGAAAAGTGAGTGTGAACTTTGCTTTCTGCATTGAGACTTGATTTAGCCCAAAAGACGCATGGCTCCAGTGTGGAGCTGGGGATTTTTCGGGTGGCCAAAACTGCTGTCTTGACTCTTTCCTGCAACTGCTGATAGTGTGGGTTTTAATTCCATTTATAAATGGTGTGTTTAGTTTACATGACACCTGGAGGAACTTGCTGTGATGCTATTATTAAACAATAACTATAAAATGCCACAGGTTACAGTGGCGTGCCTGCAACACAGTGTAATCACCATAATCTAACCTTATTATAATTATCATCATTTCCATCAGTATACAGGACCAGAACAAAAGGTCTCTATGGCAAAATGGCATGTGACAATATTAATAATATTAATACAGCCAATTCAACTAAAGCACCTTTGATGGGAGAATTGGAAATGCTTAGCATTTTCTGGCATTTGCATTTCTGGCCTCCCCAGGGCTGGGAAATCTTTACACTCTGGCTGAATCCAGCCCCAACTGCATTAAACCTGTGGCAGCTAACAGCATAATTTGGTGCTCAGAATTTGGCAGACCCTGGGCAGACCTCTCCCAGTTTAGATCTAGATAACCTAAGCAGGAACCATGGTGTGCCGCTTTCTCCTCCTCCTGGGTTGGAGGGTCTTCTGGGTGGAGGTTCTTCTCCTCCACTGAAAGGATCTGCCCGATCCTAGCAACAGCCATCCTAGAACTGGAAGGAACCCAGGAGATCATTCAGTCTAATCTCCTGCCCAGCAGAGGATTCCAAACAAAAGCATCCAGGCCAATGGTGGGATTCAAAAATTTTGTACTGCCGGTTCTGTGGCCGTGGTGTGACTTGGTGGGTGTGGCTTGGTGGGTGTGGCAGGGGAAGGATACTGCAAAATCCCCATTTCCTCCCAATCAGCTGGGACTCGGGAGGCAGAGAATAGATGGGGGTGGGGCCAGCCACAGGTGATATTTGGCGGTTCTCTAAACTACTCAAGATTTCTGCTACTGGTGGTTTTCCAGAACCGGTCAGAACCTGCTGAATGCCACCTCTGATCCAGGCAAATGGGGGATTGGCTCTGCTTAGATACCTCCCCTAATCACTGGTTCCATCTTTCTTGTGGTTAGAAGTGGCCTTCCTGTTTCTTAAGTGGGTGACCCTGTTTCCTGGTTTTGACCTTGGAGTTGAAGTCCACAAGTCTTAAAGCTGCCAAGTTTGGGACCCCTGTCCTCCATGAATGCTTTTCATGTCTTCCCTAAGCCAAAATGTATTGTTGCTACATTAACTTGCTCTAGTTTGAGGTTTTTCTGCCACAGAACCCTCCTTTTGCTACCCTGGCTTTAAAAGCCCCCTTTTTGAAGTCCAAGGTATACACTCAACTATACTTGGCCTTTTCCAATATCCCGGATATTTCCATTTCTCAGTCTTCTCCACTGAGTTAATTCTTCCATCTCTCCTGGAGAAAGGCGTCAACTAGAACAATCACAACAGAGTTTTTAACAGAATAATAGAATAACAGAGCTAGAAGGGGCCTTGGAGGTCTTCTAGTCCAACCCCCTGTTGAGGCAGGAAACCCTATACCATTTCAGACAAATGGTTGTCCAATCTCTTCTTAAACACTTCCAGTGTTGGAGCATTTACAACTTCTGGAGGCAAGTTGTTCCACTGGTTAATTGTTGTGATTGTTCTA